CAGTCTATACCCATATACATGGGCAAGTCTCATTGAACTGAGCATGAATGTGTGGCATAAGTTCCACTGCTGTTGTGATTCAGTTCGAATAAAGTGAAAAATGGATGTGATTTTTTTCAGACTATTTGACTGAATACATCCCACTGCCCGTTGCATCAGGAAAAGTTTTTTCCTCTCTGTCTGTTTCCCCACACACAGTTTGTTTAAAATATCCACATTTTTGTATGTGATTTGTCACTTTGAAGATTTTAAAAGTATTTTTGTATCATTCTGTTATTGCATAAATAGTATTATTTTTGACAAAGGTTGTGTAGTTATGAAAATCAATCTTTTTAAAAAAGTTCTATGATTCTTACTATGCTTACTCCTACTTTCAGAGAAAACTAGACAATCTGTGGGAGTCAGATATCTGTGTTTAGTAATTCTCACTAGATGATCTCTCTCAAATCCACATAGAAGCTGGTAATTTAGATTTCTATTTAGTAGTGAAATAATGGAGAATGAATCACAGTAAGCAAGAAGCAATATAAAAATGAGGAGTGTTAAAGGTGAGGACCTGGAATAGTGCACAGTGAAAGAAGTGTTAGGTTGCCATATCATTGGCGGTAGAAGATTGCCACACAATTTTGCTGAAGTTGGTGTAGTAGGTGGAAGAAAGGGCTCAATGCATGAAATTTTAGAAAAAGAGAGCTGTAGCAACTCCATTAACATTAACAATGTGTGTAGGATGAGCCAGGATCAACTAAGTATTGATAAAGATTGGGGAAATATCAACTTCAGAAATATGATTTGGGAGTAGAAAAACTACACAAAGTACCGTATCCTCTGTTTGCTGCCTTCTTTATTTTCTATCTTCTGGGTTGTATCTTAGACTTAGAAACACAGCCCCTCCCAACATCTTCGCCTCCCATTCCTCCTTCACAAACAGCTCTGCAAGTTTTTCTCTGACTCACATTATCTGACCAATCCATTCTGAACAACCTTAGCCAAACCTTTCCTTTTCCTTTATTGCCACACAGTTTCCCTCAAGTGCATTCTGACCCTTCCTCCTGTTGACACGTCCAGATAATATGGATTCCTGAAGAAATACAGACAGGAAAGGAAACTTTATTTTCTGTGTAACATAGTGGCACTAGGTGAAAGTGCAACAAGGAGGAGTTGTAGCAGTAGTAGTAGGTAATCTTCTTCACCAACACCACTATATAACAAAGATTAGGACTATATTTAGAAGAGGCCATGTTTATGACAATCATTGCTCCAGGGGTTTGCTTGAAATGTATTCCACAGAACCTGCCTCTCCGTGAAAGTTAAAACTTTTACGGATAAAAATGTCACAGTTGGAATTTGCAATGTGTGCAAGCAGTCCAATGACTTGTAATGCATACAGTACTACGTTAGTGGTATCTGATTACAGTGTATTAGGATAAAGGATATTGATTAATTTATAGCAGAGATGGGAGTTCTATGGTCTTCCAGATGTTGTTGGACTGCACTTTCCAACAGTCCCAGCTAGCACAACCAATGGACAAGGATAATGCCACTTGCAGTCCAGAAACATCTGCAGGGCCAGAGCTCCCAAGCCCTGATTTATAGATCCCTTGGATTATTAAAAGCATTATGTATTCTATATCTGTAGTGGCCAGCCTTCTTTACAACTAGGCAAACAATAGCATGCTACTGTTGCACACTATAGTACCTATGCAGCCCTCTGTGTTTTGGCATGCTTTTAACCACTAGTCCACTCACCTGGAGAGCAGGCAGCAACATAGCGGGAAGGTAAACGGCGTTTCCGTGCGCTGCTGTGGTTCACCAGAAGCGGCTTAGTCATGCTGGCCACATGACCTGGAAGCTGTACACCGGCTCCCTCGGCCAATAAAGCGAGATGAGCGCCGCAACCCCAGAGTCGTCCATGACTGGACCTAACGGTCAGGGGTTCCTTTACCTTTACTGTTCTCTGAGACAGTGGTAAATTCCAGCTGGCACCATTGCTGCATGCTGAACATCCATGTTCACACACACCTTTCTGAACATGTTTGTTTCCTTTTGTTTATTTGTAAAAAGAATTATCCTGCTTAATATAACACCGCCAAAAAAACTCCCTCTAAGTGTCTTACATGAAAACAGTAACAATTCGACAGCATTCAATAAATTATCCTAAAAGCTTGATAAAAATCAGATTAAAAACAAAACCATGCTCATGGGTGGGGGTAAGTAAATTCTGTGGAGTAATATTATTATAAATATACCATGAATCAGGTTGATTTTACTACAAATTCTATGTTTATTTTTACTAATTCAAATGGCTCAGTCCTGTGGATTTCAAAAGAGCCCCACTAGTGTAGACAGCAACTAAATAACTCATACGAAATGGTTAATGCAGACAGTATACTAATATTGCTACTGATTCTTGGGGAGAAATTATTGTAGGCTGTAAGTGTACACCAGCTGCACCAGTGTGCATGCCAAGGGTTGGGTTGCCACCTAAAATATGATGAACTCTTAAGAAGATGCAGTGCTTTGGGTTGTGCCCATGTAACTCCCTCATTACATTAGAGTTGGCATTAGTATAGAACTAATAGCATTGCTATAGAGCCATGGTGATTTTGGCAAATGCGTGTGTAAACAGCATTTGCCAAATTGTATCATATAGAACTCCTCCCTCCAAGTTTCACATGCATACCCGTGTCGGTACTGACCTCAGGAATGCTAGCAATTTTGCTTTTAACGTATCGGCATACTCTTATCACTTCACCAGATACTTGGTATTTTTTAATAGTTGGCTAGTGCCTGCGCTGTCTGTCATGCTCTAACAATGATTTCACTCTCTCACATTGTTCGTCATGAAATGCATGAAATGTGTCTGGAATATGTGAACCAGCTGCACAGCAGCACATTCCTTTTCATCAGAGAAGCAAAGCTCTGGCAGAAACTGTCTCTCGCCTGTTCAGTTGTCTCATCATTCCGCACTATCATGTCTTCAAATGCTGCATCATTAAAATAAATTAATAGGACACGTCTGGATAGCTCACAACATGTTTTAAAACTTTGTGGTTTCTTGTGATTGTGTCAGTGTATCAAATCTTGTGGAGTTCAAACCATGGAGGACTATACCTATGGATGAACACTTAATTTAATAGATTTAACCACACAAGTAAGCATATCTAATTTTTAGAAGAAATTGTCCCATTTGTACCTGACCATTGTGGGATGGGAGCCACTTGATTTCAGCATGGTCCTGTGTCACACCACAGAAGGAACAGCTGTAAAGAGAAACACGGTTGTTTGATATAGCGCACCACACTCATTGAGAACCATTGCATTACACATTAATAATGTGTGAAGGGGCTATAGTTGTGTGTGTGTGTGTGTGTGTGTGTGTGTGTGTGTGTTCCCTCTTGCTAGAGCATTTTGGTCAGACTATGCAGTGGATATATGAAATATTTTTTATATATTGCTGTCTGATAATTGTTAAAGTATTGCTTTTCAAATATTGTCCATTAGACGAAATTAATAATGACTCTTTCCCTTGAAAGAGTTGTATCCAATGCCAGTCCTACTCACAATAGACCCATTCATTTCAGTGGGTTTATTTTACGTATAAATAAACTAAACTGGCAAAATCATTATTCATTCAATACATCCTATCTACAATATGCTGCCTTTCTAGTTGAATACCCCCGATATGTTTTTAAAATGGCCTGTATTTGGTCAACCATAAATCTGAGATAAGGATACTCTAAGTATGGGAAATCTGTGGCCATCCAGATGTTGTTGGACTTCCATCATTCCTGACTATTGGTCATGCTATCTGGGACTGATGAAAGTTGAGTTCAACAACATCTGGAGGGACACAGGTTTACCATTCCTCCTGTAAGCATTTCTTGCGGATGTGTTAGGATTGTTTGTTTCATGCACATGCAAGCCTTACTTTTTTATTTGAGTGAATATTAAATAAAGTCATTGCCCCCATGCTTCTAGCTACAGACCAAAATTCTACTGTCTCATTCAGTTTAACACTCAGTACCCAAAAATGTAAGGTAAAGGGACCCCTGACCATTAGGTCCAGTCAAGGCCGACTCTGGGGTTGTGGCTATCATCAAATAAATATTATTTGGATTCAGGAAAAAACAATTCTGCTGAGTGCCCCAGATATCTATTGATGTTCAACAACAAGTTTAGGTTGCATGTGGAAAGAAGCATTGCCTGTTCAGAATAATTTTTGTCATTACGTATTGTCTTTGATACAATATAAATGAATGAATGAATGAATAGGATGTCAATTCTGTTAATCCTACCCTGCCTCAAAATCTCTTATTATATTAACTCATTCTGAAAATGTAGCTTATAACAGCCTTTCTTTCATCTAAAAACATCTTTAAGGAGTCACCATTTTTTATTTTAAAAAATATTGATAATATGATTTTATTACTTGAGCCATTAGACAGCAATCCTACAGCCACTTATCTAGGAATAATCCTAATTAATCTCAGTGGAATTCAGTTTTGAGTAGAAATGTCTAGGATTGCACTGTTAATCATCTGCATAAATTTGCATAAGAATAAACCATAGGGGCCATATCCCAAGCTGGTACAGCAGATTTCTGTGTGTGCAACTGAACTTCCTTTTCCTCTCCTGTCCCCAACTAGCACTCACACTCTTCTGGAGAAGAAGTGGGGCACATGAAGAGAAAAGGAAAATTATGCACATGGAGCCTTAGATACAACTCTAGGGCTGGAGGCAAGAAAGAGGACTCTCTAGGTGAAACATCCATGCATCTCATCAAGTGTCATCTTAAAAGACCCACTCTCACCTCTGTACGAGAGTAGAAGTACTTCTAGGATGGCAGCAACATTGCCATTCTTTATTTGATTGTGTTTCTGTGTCAATAGTTCAGGGCTGAAGCCTTGAGGTTCAGGACCAGCAAACAAACTGGTACATCACTCAGATACAAAAAATATCTCTTGTGTAAGTACTTTCTGTCTCTTCTTATTTTTTTCCAGTCCTCCACAAGCAGCCCAGAGAAGTGTGCCTTTGTTTGCTCGAACTTGGAAGGATTGCTGCAAGGTAGGCAAAAGTATTTGAAGAACTGAGGAATATTTGCATTTTTGACAGCAACAGCTATTGAGAAAATGATGGCTTCAGCAAATTTATATTGGCCAGGATCAAGACAGATATCCACTGGAGGCTGCACAGGAGCTTATTGTGGACAGTTGTTCAAACAAAAACAAGCCTCCTTTAATATGGTTGTCTGCCATGTTTAAACCAAGGCAAGGAAACCAGCAGGTCTTTCTAAATCGGATTATTTTTCTTCTGCAAGTTGAAACATTTACAGCAATAACTGATGCTGTTTTTGCTATATAACTGAGTTAGTCAAGTTCTCATTCCATTGGGATGATTGGGCTGCTGTTGATGTGTAAATAGTAACAAGATGATGATGGTGATGACGACGACGATGATATATTTGGGTCATCTGAAATAATGGATCAGTCATTGCTTGTGACCAGCCAATGTCCTTACCACTCTACTAAGTCATCTGACACATATAAGATAACTCAAGGGACAGGAAAGACATGCCCCTCATTTCATTCTCTGAGAATCATGCTGCTTCTGAGAGTCTTGAAAGCATGGCATGAAGTGAAACACTGGCACACCCCCCCTTTCCCCCAAATTCCCTCATGCATACAAGGTGGTTTATGAAATGGCATTGTGATATCAGCCATTGAAAGCAATGAAGAACTGACTGAGCTAATTGTGTGAGATGAGTAGATGGATTTTGCGTTGTCAGTTAGACTTCTAAATTACATTTCATTTTAGTGCTTCACCCATATACAGTCATGTGTGGATTTAGTTCTACCACGTTAAAGGAGCTGGAAAAGTTTGTGTTTTGTTTCTTTGAACTGAGAAGGAAGGATTGTGGATGGACAGCGGGAAAAACATTTAAATCCATCTACTCTGAAGTATGAAAAATGTGGTAGGTGAGATTGTGTAAAGATGCAGGGGGAAAAAGGATCTGCATTCCTTAAAAGAGTACAAGAGCTACATCTGATGAGTAAGGTTGCATGCAGGTGTAGAGCCAGGGCCCAGTGGGAACTGAGTGATTTACAGCCTGTCAGCGTCTGCAGACAGACAGGAAGTCAATGGATTATATATATAGGTGTTTGCTCCAGCCTAGGCTGATATTTCATTAAACAGAAGGGACCAGCTAGCAGCTACTACAACCCAGTATGATTTCACTTGTCGGTTTCTCAATTTTTTTTCCAAGGGTCAAAAAACATGTTCATAAAATTTGAACCATAGTGGTAGCAATCCTCTCTGTGCATTGAGTCTTTTGTTTTTATACCATGGGAGGTTTCTCATGTCCCAGCAAAACGTATCTATTTTCATTGTTTGAGTAGTTTATTAAAAAACTGGGCAGTAGGGGTAGAATTTTAAAATGTAAGAGATAGAGTGCTAGTTTTGGACTAGAGGATCCAGGCCTAATCACATCACTATTTCACAGTTTAGTATCACAGGTCGTAGCTAAGGTTATAAAATGCTATTTTTAAAAAAGAAATATCTCCATCATATTGAAACATAGGAAGCTGCCTTATACTGAATCAAACCATTGTTCCATCTAGTTCAGTATTGTCTTCACTGACTGACTAGGAATTAGGTAGGGGTCTTTTTCCAGTCCTACCTGAGGATTGAACCTTCCACATGCAAAACCAAGCTATAGCCATTCTCCTGTTGCTATACTGTAAGGTTGATCAAAAAAGGACATTCCCTTCTTGTTCCCCCTTTTCCCCTTTCGTTTATGATTGTGGGAACTCAATCAGAGGAAGAACTGTAGCTCAGAAAGAGTAAACATGTTTTGAATGCAGAAGATCCAGAACTCAATTTGTAGCATATCCATTGAGTATTAAGCAGCAGGGAAAGACCTCTGCCTGAGACTGTGGACAACCAAGACTCTGCCAGTCACAGTAGGCCGGTGATGGCCAAACTTGGCTCTCCAGCTGTTTTGGGACTACAGTTCGCATCATCCCTGACCACTGGTCCTGTTAGCTAGGGATGATGAGAGTTGTAGTCCCAAAACAGCTGGAGGGCCAAGTTTGGCCATCACTGCAGTAGGCAATGCTGGGCTAGAAGGACAAGTACAAGGCAGCTTCTACAAATGGAGCTACAGGTGTTCATTGAATTTTCTGCATTTCCCCTTAACTGCTCATGGACGTGAGATGAGGAGCCTCCTGCAAAGAATCTGTTCTTTCCTTTCTTTGCCTCCAGAATATCTTTTTTCTGCTGCTGTCAGTTTTCACTGGTTTTCCATAAAATAGGAGACTGTCTGCAGTGACAAGAGAACCCCCTTCTGTGTTTTTGTAGCTGGCTAGCTTTATACAAATGTAATATAATCAAAAGCTGTTAAAAAAAAAAAGCTAGCCAGAAAGACTAGCCAGTGTGGTATAGAGGTTGGACTATGGCCTGGGTGACCAGGCCTCAAATCTCCTCTCAGCCATGAAGCTGAATGGGTGACCTAGGTGTAGGCACTGTGTCTTAGCCTAATTTACCTCAGGGTGTTGTGCTGATAATATGGAGAGCAGGGAGGACCATGTATGTCACCTTGAGCTCCCATACCCTCCAACATTTCTCTGATGAAAATAGGGACGTCCCATTCCATAAATGATAATTTTACTATTTATACCCCACACATGTTATTGGCTTGCCCCAGCTTCCAACATGTATAATATAATAAAACATTAAAGATTTTTTTTAAAACTTCCTTATACAGGATTGCCTTCAGACGGCTCAGGGTTGGATAACTTCATACCCTCCAAAATTTCTCCAGTGAAAATAGGGATATCCTATGGAAAAGCGGGACATTCTGGGATCAAATCAGAAACCGGGATGGCTTCTCTAAATCAGGGATGTCCCTGGAAAATAAGGACACTTGGAGGGTCTGAGCATATTAGAGCAAAGAGTGTGCTCCAAGAGTGTTGCTCAGCTCTAATACTGGAGCTAGGGTAAAGTGTGAAATCAAATACTATTATAATGATTTTAGGTTTAAGGTAATGTAACTATTATTTTTAACCTGTTGGAACTGGTTTTGTAAGCACTGGTAACTTTCTGCATTCAAAGGTTTGGCGTGGAGCCTCCTGGATTAATAAAACTGGAGAAAGAGATTGAGCAAGAAGAAACACTTTCAACCCCTCTTCCGTCCCCCTCCCCCTCCCCCTCAAAGTCGCCTGGCAAAAAGAGCACAGGGAAACTTCTGGATGATGCGGTAAGTGTGCATTAGCAGGCCTCACACTATACATATTTCTCGACAGGTGATTGGCGGGGAGTCTCCCTTTCCCACTCTTGGTAAGGTATATTGATGCACTGGATAAAAGAAGGGTAACCATTAACTATCCTCAGTTTGAAGTAACATCTGCGAGAAATGAGGTTACAGGGAACTAGACAGAGGGCCTTCTCATTAGTGGTGCCTGCCCTGTGGAACGCCCTCCCATCAGATGTCAAGGAAATAAGCAACTATCTTACTTTTAAAAGACATCTGAAGGCAGCCCTGCTTAGGGAAGTTTTTAATGTTTGACGTTTTATCGTGTTTTTAATATTCTGTTGGGAGCCGCCCAGAGTGGCTGGGGAAACATAGCCAGATGGGCAGGGTATAAATAATATATTATTATTATTATTATTATTATTATTATTATTATTATTATTATTATTACATCTGCTCTTCAAGAAGTTAGTTGATAGCACTTGTTGGGAGTGGTTTACTGAGAGCTAGTCTGGAAAGGTTATGGTGCCAACTCCCCATCTAAATGGCACTATGCATTTTGAACTGGGACTCTTTGAAGTAAGCCCCAGCCAGTATAGTAATTTCTATTCCTCACTTACATTCTTCACTAAGGAAATTCAAATTCATATATATGTGTGTGTGTGTGTGTGTGTGTGTGTGTGTGTGTGGTTTGCAGTTTATTTTGTGCAAGGATATACGTAAGCAGTGGTATTTGGAGAAAATGGTGAGGAAAGAAAAATAAAGCAAGTGAAAATGAAGAGCCAGTTCAGCAGAGAAATAATATGGGATGAGGGACAGAAAGCATGACTAAAAGCCTTTTTATGGGTTCCAGGCACTTACCCAGGTTTAGTTTCCTTGGAATGAAGGTCATCAGAGACTGTGGTGTCTTTAGGATATATTTATACAACCTGAGCATAAGATGGAGGGATCATAGCATTAATACCCCAAAAGATCTTGCTTCTCCACCAGTCACAGTTTTGTGTGTAGCACAGAGCAAATATGCCTCTGTGTCTAGCTTCCAACCTGCTTTCTCCCTAGATTAGCCATCCACTCTTGCAGTTGTTCCTCTCTACCTAGCAGCTAGGTGTGCTGGCAGCTACCTAGCAGCTGGGAGCGAAGGCCCATCCATTTTTTCCACGGCACAGAGCAATTTCTTTGGTTACGCTAATCATGGTGCTTAACTAGTTAACCGCAACCATTGCCTAGAGAAAGGGACTGTTTGGCAAGCTCTCATACCTACAAACCCCCCCACAGATCCAGGAACCCAATAATTGGGTCTCTGATAATCCCTCAGACTGACCATTAAGCTTAAAACACATACACACACTGCTGTAAGGCAGTGCAATCACATACCAGTGTGTGAACGCTTGAAGGTGGAGCAAGTGGAAGACCAAAGACCACAGGTATAGATATATTGTGATATAAGAGCAGGGAGATGAGGAGGAGGCAAGGTCGCAGAGCAACTTTAAAGGTAAAGAGAAGGAGCCTGGATCAGGGAACAGAGAGGAAGCCAGCAGGGGGTTTAAGAAGGGGTGTTACGTGATCAGATCAGATCCTTATTATGAATGTGACTGGCTGCAGCTTCAAAGTCCTAAGCAAAGATATTTCCAACCCTGCTGCCTCAAATGCTTTTAACTGGAGATGCTGAGGATGATTGAACCTGAGACTTGCTGAATGCAGTTCATTGATGCATTTAACCTATGCAGTAACATTCACTTTTCACTCCTCATGGAAAAATCACACTGGTCCTGAATATGCCATGTTCTGAACAACCAAGGGTTAAACAGGGAAGTAAAAAATGTATTCTAAAAAAAGCACTTGTTGCTATGGCAACTCCTATATCACACGGTGGATGTGCCACCTGGGAGTTACAAAGCGCTCCTTGAAAGCCCCTGTGCCACTCCTGAGCTACAATGAACAGATGGAATTTGGTGTATTTAACAGTGCTTGTGAAATGTAATTTGCTGGAATGCAAACTTGGTTAGGTTTAGCGTCCCCCCTCCCCTTCCTGGTTCTTTAACTTCTCAAAGTCTTTCACTGTGGCTGCCAGAGAAGGACTGAGACAAAGCATAGAAGAGGTGACTGCAATTCCTGTGGGTGAAGAAAAAAGGAGAAAAAAGAGCTTATGAAGTCTGTTTTAAGTGACCTCCTTTAATTTACAGAGTATCAGCAAAACGCAAACACATAAAACTATTTTATCAATTCTAACAAAGACATCTCGGGTGTAAATTAACGTAGTTGAAAATTTTTCAGCAGCCTCCATATGCACAAAGTTACAGCAAGACTGAATCCCAGCCCCAAAACGCATCTTCTTTCTAGATTTCCTCACAGTAATATTGCTGTGAGTTTGGGGAAATAACAAGAGCAGAGTGAAAGGCTTCATGACTTGTTTGGTTTGTACTTTCTGTTGCTCTTCTAAGGCTAAATAGCAAAATGCAAGTGGGAAAAATCCTCAAGAATTGTTTTGATGCTGCTGCTACAATTGTGGGTGGGGGATACTCCCCTTTCTGCTTCAAAGACCCTCCAGCATGTAGCAGATCTTTGTTGGAAAACTGATCATGCAGAGACTCAGTTCATGTGTTTTCCATCCTTTTGAGGCTAGTGAAATCAGGGGGACGTGGGAATAGGAATGATTGGAGGCTCTGGTTGGCAATGGAAGCTATTTGAACAGAAGGAGGGGCTCATGCAATCATTGAGAACCCATGCCATTTCCCATTGAAAAGATGTTGGATTTCTATGTCTAGTTTAGTATTATCAAGAAATTCATCAGGTTGATCAGCTGAAGACTGAAGAATACATGCCCCCATTTCAGTGCCTGCTGTCTTAAGACTTTGTACGCTGAATGTGCACAGGTGTCCATTTTAGGTACTAGGTCTGGAACAATTTTCTTCATTGCTTGGATGTAATGGGAGGGGAGAACCAGGCTCAAATTTACAAGTGTTGAAAGTTCTTTGTTCAGACCATTAGAAGGAGTCAACATAACACTGTCTGCATGGCATCCAGAGTGGTCATGGGCCCCACTTTACAGAGGATATTCCTCTATTTTGAAAGGTTGCCAGAGGACAATCCTATAATTGAAGGTGTCTTCTATTTAATGGCCATCCAGTCCAAATCTTATTTAAAGGCAAGAAACCAAAAAAAGGGAGAGCAGGAGACTTGAAGTTGCCCACCAACCCAGTCAGCAGACTGAGCAGGCACACCTGTCGCTGATGCCTTCCCTACTAAGAGATGTAGTCTATTTCAGTTTTTTAGAAAGGTATAGTAAATATTTCTGAATTTGTGTCTATAAATAAAAATGCCTTATGCAAACTGGTGTCCTCATTTTTGGCAATGCACAACTGGCCACCCTACTGTACTCCCAATGTTCTGAACTCTCAGTACCCTAGAACAGCCCATCTGCCTCCCATATCTGGTTCAATCTAACAGAAAGAAAGAACTACTAAGTCTTCTTTTAAAACATAAACTCCCATTTTGGTAACAAGACAAATACCTTCACACTTCAAGAGCCCCAAGTCAGTGAAAGCCGTCGGTGTTTAAAGTGACATCATGCACTACAGCTGAGGAACCAGACTTCAACTAGGTAATGAAACTTATTAAAATTCAGTCTGAAAATCCCTGAAGGGAGTGGCAAACAGGACTAAGCAAAAGACATGCAGTAAATGGGTCAGTCCAGTAAGATTTGACATGGGTTTTGCTGCTCTACCTCTTGAGATATGACTGGCCCCAGCTCTGATGCTAGTGGAAGACCTACTTATCCAAGCAGACATTTATGGTGATCTAATTACCAGGGACGCGGGTGGCGCTGTGGGTAAAACCTCAGTGCCTAGGACTTGCTGATTGCATGGTCGGCGGTTCGAATCACCGCGGCGGGGTGCGCTCCTGCTGCTCGGTCCCAGCGCCTGCCAACCTAGCAGTTTGAAAGCACCCCCGGGTGCAAGTAGATAAATAGGGACCGCTTACCAGCGGGAAGGTAAACGGCGTTCCGTGTGCTGCGCTGGCTCGCCAGATGCAGCTTGTCACGCTGGCCACGTGACCCGGAAGTGTCTCCGGACAGCGCTGGCCCCCGGCCTATAGAGTGAGATGAGCGCACAACCCTAGAGTCTGGCAAGACTGGCCCGTACGGGCAGGGGTACCTTTTACCTTAATTACCAGGCAGGTTTATTTTATTTTTTACTGTTTTGCTGCTACCAAATTGGTTGTGATTTTTGGGTTGTGCGTTTATGTGTTTTCCTTTTAAATTTTCATGATTGTATCCCACCCTGATATTGATGGTGAGTAGGTTAAAATATGTTGAATAAATAATAATAATTGGCAGTAGCAATGTCAAGCACACTTCATACACACACAGTATTTTGATATTACAGGAAGGATAAACACACTTCCCGAACACATAGAATTTCTATAATCTATTGGCAAGCTATTAAAATATAGAAGATAACATCCTAATGTTATTTATTTGTTTGTAAACTTCACAGAGACATATGGTTGGCAATTGTCTGAGGCAAGATGCAGAACTAAGTAGTCCTTCCGTCTGACCAGAAAGGCTTTTCTTATAGCCCTCTCTGATGTTATAAATAACCCTTTCTAAGAAAATGTAAAAGTCAATCTTTCACCAGTAGTTATTCTAACAACATCTTTCCTATGCTCTCAGTCTCGCTTCACAGACTGTCGGCTTCTGAACTAGATCTCCAAAGGTCTCTGGGGAGGATGAAATCTTTAGAAAGCGTGCCTTGCATTTTGCTTCATTTGACACCAACACATTAGGTCAACTTTCCTCCTAGAGAACTACATTGTGTGGAAATTATTTTATGTGTGCACTTGTCAGTGTTAAGGTTAGGTATAAAATAGCAGTAATACCTGAATGTCAAATTAGAGTTCACTCAACCAGATCTGCTCTTTGGCAGTGATGCCTGTGCTCCTTGCATTTCACCAACAAGTTCAAGATACACTAAATGTTAATGCATGCACTTTAACCATATCTCTTATAGTAGTGGTTCCCAAAATGGATTGGTATGGGTGGTTCATCAGACCAGCATTCACAGGTAAAATGCAATGCAAAGGAATCATTTAAGCAGTAAATGGAGAATGCAATTAGCAGCTTTCATTCTCACTTCTGATTTACATATATATTAGGTTTATATTTAGCAAGCACTTTATTCAAATCTGGGGTTATATCAAAGCAGCTTTGATTTAGGCCACACCAATACTTTCATTAAATTATTTTAAACATGAAGCTGGTCACATGAAAAACATTTTCCCATGCTATATTCTCCAGATCTGGCTTTCTATGTGCATTATGTTGCCACCCTACATGTGCTGCATTGCTACACCAACCTAGGACTCATCATAGGAAGAATGCAACATAAAAGGATAACTTAAGCAGTAAAGGGAGAATATAGTTAGCAGCTTTCCCTCTCACACATCACCACACCATCATCAGGCTCATCACTTCTATCGTTCCCTGACATGCTATTATGTAAGGACAGCAACTCAATTTAAACTCAGCAAGCACTTTCCCCATGACAGTATCACATTCAGATTGTTTCTTTCTGAACAACTGAGGAGCATAAAATGAGTAAAGCTCAGAGACTGTGTTCATTATCAGTGTTAATACCTCAGGGTACAGTGGCACACCCACCCACAGCACCCTTTGGGAGAAGAACCTAGTAGTTTGCATGTATTAGTAGCAACAAGGTTATACAAGTCAAAGTTCAGGGTTTCCCAGACTGTAGGCTGGAACTTCAATGAGGTTACTCTACAGAGGAATGAGGCCTGCAGTCTCTGACTGCTGCTTGCTGAGTTACCGCAGAGTGAAGGTGAAGCTGTGGTTGGGCGATAGGCAGCACCACAAGAGGCCTTGCCCCCTTTTGCAGCAGTCCTCTGATATTGGAAATGATGGGTGTTTGTGTAACTTTTTTGTATGTATGGAGTGAGTGAGTGAGAGAGTGAGGCAGGTGGATTTAATTACGAGTACCAGTGGAGTCTGGTGCACACTGAAACCGGTAAGGAGGAAGCAGAGAAGGACTTAGGAGAGTGTGACTGGTTTCAGTCGCACTAGTCATGGAGCCTCAGGGGTGTTGCAAGGGGTGCTGCAACTATAGTTTAGACTGGAACACAAGAGGTTGGAGGAAGGTGCTGGATTTTGGGTGTTGCTCAGCGTGCCGCTGAAATTTGAGCCCCCAATGTCTGCCACTGGAGGAAGGCAAGGAGGCTGATGAAGATAGAGCCAAGAAAAGGTGGAACTAATTTTGGTTTTGTCCCCGTCCTTCTGCTTCCACTCTGAGTTCCACAAGAGCAACACTGAGACTAAGGAGGTTGACAGACAGTGCCACCCCTAGACTGGTTTGTAAATAAGGAGGGATGCAGGTGGGAGCTGGCTGAGGACATTCTGAGCCTGGTGCAGCAGTGTCCCAGTTGATTTAATGGACCAGCCTCCAATGAAAGGCACCTAAATTTCTGGCACAGTCTGAACACTGCACAATAGTGATGTGATGGGTAGAACAACGAAATATGAAAGAGCAGGTGCTTGGTTTAGGAGCTGGTGGGAAAGATACAGTTGAATATAATCTGTCCTAATGGTACTGTAGTGCACTAAACAATTTAAAATTATAACCTCCCCCCTCTTTTTTCCCAAAGGTCAAACATATTTCTGAAGATCCTCCTTGTAAATGCCCTAGTAAATTTTGTGTGGAGCGTCTTTCACAAGGAAGATACAGAGTTGGAGAAAAGATCCTTTTCATCAGGGTAAGAAAGATTTACTATTCAACTTGCAGAGTGACGTCTGGTAAGCACTTTACTAGGAATGAGCATTATGAGGAATGAGCATTATCTTGCCATATACTTGTCATCATTACTGGATAGAGTTGTGCAGGGGCAGATTTAACATGCCTCCATACATATGAACATCTGGCTGGGATAGATAGTTCCTGTAAATTACATAGTTAAAGTGGTTGGGTTGTTTTTTTTTAATGCTGCTGATCTGTCTGCTTCTATCATCATTGTCCAACCCCTCCCCAACAATTGTTTTATTGCCTATAAGAATGCAGTCATTACTGATTTGTTGCAGGAGATCCAAATCTCATTTTCATGGGTACCACTTCAGCTATGGATAATCACATTGTCCCATACTCAAACTGCAGAATGGTATTCTCTCCTGCCAAGTGAATCTACTGGAAAATACATTGAACATTGCATGGAACCTGGTTCTGTGAGTGCCAAAGGCCTCACCTGGATAACACCTGGGATGTGAATAATGAAGAATAATGTCTACCTGAGAAGCAGCTTGGCCACTGTTGAACATGGTGGGAACATGGTGGGGTGAGGAAGTGGGGAGTTCAGCATTGATGCAAATGCATTGGTGACACCAGTCTTGGGCTCCTGCCAGTGCATTGGCAACATGCTCACCTCCCTGTTGATTCCTCCTCCCCTTTCTGATATGTAACAGCAACCTATCTGCCAGAAAGCTAGTGTAGTGGCTTCCTGTCCCCCATTGAGATGCTTCTGGCTAAACCTTCCCTCCTTGCATGCGACAGTCCCAATGAAAATGGGTCTACTCTTGATACTGAAAAGCAGCAACAACCCAGATGTGATTGGTGGCCATGTGATTAAAGTAAAATTTAGACTGAGTCTATGCTCTTGAAGACGCAAGTTTTCAGCTCGCTAAACACTTTCTCTGACCACTTGATAACCTTTCAAAAAAAGAAATATAGTATTTTTAGAGAAGCTGTACTCCATGATTTAGAAATGCTGTCCCTAAATGCAAGGGCTCATACATGGCCAGTTTCCTGTACCTCTATTAATTGTCTATTGTCCATATGACACTCTCCTCCAACCATTACCTCCCCATATGTTCCTCTCCCTTAATCTGGATTGTCACATACTAGGTATACTCTGAAAAGGAGAGGGTATGAGAAAATCCAGACTGAGGGAGGGGAAAGTGATCATGTTATTGCTGAGCATGTTTCAGGGTTGACTTTGGACACTGAAGACTGGTTTTCTGGGTGCAACCTGTATAAATCAGGCCCTGCCTCTATTTCCGTCTTGGTTGCATGCAAAAATAAGCCACTGATTTTAGCATGGTTGCATGAAATTGGATTTGTAAAAATAATTTAACAGTGTATTATTTGAGTTGTCATTTCAGATAAGCTGAAACATGTTTTACAAGATAGTGCAGATGAGTAATGAGAGTGGAACTTAAGCCTTTGATAGATGACATGTCACGTATACCCGTATGCCTTGTTCAAAAAGCGGTTGTATCTACACTGGATCTTGAATAGTCAAGTGGTTTGTGGAACTTTATGCTACACTTCTGAACAAAGGAACAGTTCCTCCAGTGCTGGTTTACTCACTTGAAGTCAACATGAGTCACTCCCATATGAGTTAGAACAGGATTGGACTCCAATGCCTGAGTTAGGCCAGCAGTTCTTAAATTGTTTTTCTGTGTAGTTATTTCATTGGATGGAACGGATAGCAACTTAAGCAACTGCTGTATACTAAGTCAAACCATTAGATCATCTAGTTCAGTATCGTTTATACCAGCTAGCAGCAGCTTTCCAGTTCTTCAGGCAGCGATCTCTCCCAGCTCTACTTGGAGGTGCCAGGAATTGAACCGGGGACATTCTGCATGTAGAGCATTACTCTCTCCCTGAGCTACACTCCTTCCATACAACAGAATGAGTTGGATCATAAGAACCATGAGGAGAGAGAACTTTGCCACCCCATCCTCCCTGTTCCCCTGGAAAGCCACTCTTGAGAATTAGAGGAGCTTCTGGAATGGAGTGTGATGAGGTTGTCGGCTGGTGGTCCACTGATCTCTACCATGCATCTCTCCTTGCTCCAGAGGATTCTCACTTTCAGGAGAGGTGTTTTTGTGGAGATTCATGAGGCTGAAGTGGGGAGGAGAAGACAGGAAATTTCTCTTTCAATTGCTTTCGGCGGCTTGCAAATTTTGGAATCTGGCCCAAAGTTGGAGGTTTCCTCCATTTGAAATATTTAGAAAATCATTTGTGGGCCGTAGGTCTGTTAGATCCCCAGTTTCTGGCTTACAGAGGCTGCAGATTAATCTAACCTTTGTTTCTGATTACTCTTTTTGTGATTGCCATGCTGCTTCCCTTTGTATGAAGCAAAATTGGCAACAATTTGCCAGGAGCCTTTTTGTGGCCCCTAAACATTAATTGCTTGTACCTTCTCATGCACATGACATTTTTAAAAATCAGGAATGGCTAACCTCACTTGGCCTGAAGACCACATTCACCCTTGGTCAACCCTCTGGGGAGCACATGTGACTACCCACACCTTGTCATGCACAGGCGACACATGCAAGCAGATGCTCACAAAGGTACAGTGTGTCTTCCTCAGCTGATCTGTTTAAACTAGCTGAAGGCTGTTGTGTCTCTCTGCTCATCAAATTATTACTTTGCTGACCAGAGAGAAATCTATTTGCATCCTCATCAGGGCACCCCAGTACTGTGTCTCATTTATTTTCTTTCTTTCACCATTGTCCCCAAAATTGGTGGTGTCTTCAGGGATGCAGAAAAATGGGCTTGGGGGCTAGATTAGGACCCACAGTGGAGGTTAGCTGTCTCTGATTTAAATGTCTGAGCATGTTTAGGATTCTTCTCCGTCTGTAAAGCTAAAGGAGTTATCTAGATGCTAACTCACACGCCATACTTTAGCAAGGAAAGGCAGTGCAGTTGCTAAGGAAACAGAGCAAGGACATTTCTTTGGGGATTTACTATATTAACAGGGGCTTGCTTGCCTTTCTGTTTCTCCAGAAGTGTTGTTATAATGTCATGAAGACTGACAGCATTGAAATCCAATAAATAAAAAATTACATTTACTGCACAAATAACCAGGCAGTATAACAATTCTGAAGGGCTCCATTAGGTAGGTAAAAGATGAAAGAAAATATAACCAGAATGCAACAGGTATTAGTGTTATTGATGGTGTTTATTATGCATACAACACCAGCAGTGCACATGACACTTTACAAAGACACTTAGGCCTTGTCCACATTTCTGCTTCTCCCCTTCTTAGAAAGCATGGGGTCAGGAATTTTTCTGCTTGCCCCTTGCTATCTAGGCATGAGTCTGAGCAATTTTGCCATTGCCCTGCTGCTTTCTCCTGGAAAACCCACTCTGTAATGATAAATTAGAACAAATGGCAATCTGCAGGAAACCTGATTGCCATTTGCTCTGAATCAGCACTAAATAATGGGTTTTCCTGGGGGAAACACAACTGTGGATAAGCCCAGAAATGTTACTGGACTAAAAGTCGGGGAGACAATGGGAAAGAGAGGATGGGAGGAACAGAAAGGGCAGATGTATCAAGAATTGAATATGAAGAAATGATGTGCCATCCACACACATACACATACATATGCAGGCAGAGCAATCCTAACCTGGCCTGCAGGAGGAGGATCAGAGAAGTGGTGCCACCACCACATCTGAAACTGTGCTGTCTCCTGCTTCTCAGAATGGAAACTGGTGATGGGAGAGCATGGTCTCCATGGGGCTATCCCTGAATTAGTCTGGCCCAACTCATAGCCGTGGACATGCTTTGGACCTGGTGTTCACTTCTATGGTTGTTGGTGATCTGACACTAAGTAAAAGCAAAACTAAAGAAGTGCCATGGTCAGATCACTTCCTGGTGCAACTGGACTTCTCCGTGACCCTTCCCCTCTGCAGGAAGGTGGGACCGATTCGGATGGTCCGTCCCTGCCACTTAATGGATCCAAATGATTTCCAGAGAGTGGTAGGGGATGCTTTATCCCATGTTGATGGCCTTTCAGCTGATTCCCTGGTGGCCCACTGGAATGTGGAATTAACCAGGGCTATTGACTGTTTGGCTCCGAAGCGCCCTCTCCAATTGCATGGAGCCCGGACAGCCCCGTGGTTTCCCCCAGAGCTGAGGGTGATGAAACAACCGTTGAGACAGCTAGAGCGCCGGTGGCGGATAACTCATTCTGAAGCTGACCGGACACGGGTTAGAGTTAAATGTTGTGCCTACCAAGTGGTGGTAGCGACAGCGGAGAAGACTTTCTTCACTGCCTCTATTGCATTTGCAGAAAACAGCAGCAGGAGACTCTTTCAGGTGGTTCGCAATTTAGCGGAACCACCTGCTCCATCGGGGCCCAGTACAGGCCACATGATCTCCTGCAATGATTTTGCAAAGTTTTTTGCAGATAAAGTCGCTCAGATTCGGGAAGAGGTAGACTCCACCGTGGGAGCAGGGCCAGGGTGGGAGAGTGCTAGAGTCCTGTCTAGTCAAGTTGCATGGGATCAATTCCAATCTGTTACCTCCGAGGATGTGGAGAGGCTGCTTGGATGAGTGAAACCAACCACCTGTCTCCTTGATCCTTGCCCATCCTGGCTTATAAAAGCTAGCCAGGAAGGGCTGGGCGATGGGCTTCACGGGGTGGTGAATGCTTCTCTCTGTGAGGGAATCTTCCCAGACTGGCTGAAAGAGGCAGTTATCAAACCGCTTCTTAAAAAAACATATTTAGATGCGCCCAATATGGCCAACTATCATCCAGTCTCAAATCTTCCATTCTTGGGCAAGGTGATTGAGTGAGTAGTTGCTGAACAACTCCAGGCATGCCTGGAAGAAGCGGACCATTTGGATCCCTTCCAGTTGGGATTCAGTCCTCATCATAGGACTGAAACTGCCTTGGTCACACTGGCCGATGATCTCCGGCGGGCTAGGGACAAAGGTGAGAGCTGTTTCCTAGTTCTGCTGGATCTCTC